GCAGGTGGATGGAGCACGTGTGTAATGGGTTGGAGGGGTGTGTGTATGAGCATGCGCATTGTTCCTGGCTCTGCTTTGAGGACTTAGGAACAGCAACATCCAGGACCAATGAGCACGTCTGGCACCATAACTTGTTGGTTTTTAGCCTTTTCCACTAAAAGAACAGGGCTCCTTGGAGAAATGGTGGGCTCTGGGTCTGGGAAAACAGACAGGTGTGACATTGAGATTTATTATACATCCTATATAATAAAGAGCTAATATGCTAATTAGACCGGACAGCGGAATGACCTTCAGAGAGACCAGTGGGGGAGGGGGGGACAGGGCTGTGAGGCAGCCTGGGCTGAGGGGGGAGGAAGGGGTTCGAGGGCCTACTCCTGCATGAATTTCATGCATTGGGCCTCTAATTTATATATAGTTTTTTACCTAGATTCTGGTACAGAGGTCCTAAAACTCTTGGAATTTCCTCAGTGATAAGAGTAATAGGGATGTCTTTTGATGTCTTTAACAAGCCCCTCTCAGATACTCCAGAGCCCATTTTAGTCAATGCGATGACTTTTGGAAAGCCATGGGGATCTGGTCTAGCTGCCTGGGGAACCACCTAGTCATTACAGAGTTGTAATTTGGCCCCACCCCCATCCCAGCCTCAGGGAGGGGCTGGAGATTGAGATCTCTTGCCAGTGGCCAATGATTTAATCAATCATGCAAATGAAATAAAGCCGCCAGAAAGATCCAAAAGGACTGGGTTCCAGAGCTCCCGGATTGGTGAACACTTGGGGATTCAGGGAGAGTGGCACTCAGAGCATGGCAGCCCTGTACCCCTTTCCACACACCTTGCCTTTGCATCTTTTTCTTCTGGCTCTTCCTGAATCATATAATCCTAGTAAACCTGGAATCTAGTAAGTAAACTGTTTTTCCTGAGTCTGTAATTCACTCTCATAAATTAATCGAACCCCCGTAGGGTGTTGTGGGAACCTCTCATTTACACCTGGCTGGTCAGAAACACAGGTAACAACCTGGACTTGCAATTGGTGTGTGAAGTAGGGGGCAACTAGACCCAAGGAGAGATATCACTTGAGGGATATTAGGCGGGAAGATAACTCTAGGGCATGAGGGGAAAGGGAGAGGAAAGGGAGTTTATCTCACCCACTAATCAAAGAAGTCAGCCACCTTAGTACTTGCCAAACAAGATGACCAGATGTCTGTACAAACATTCCAGAATAATGAACAATGCAGAAGGGGACTTTGAAACCTACAGGGGGAAGGGTATAAAACCTCTTGAACTCTCACTGGGCATACACTCAGACTAGCTGAGTTGCCCACTTATGCTTTATGTCAAGTGTATTCTTTTTTATTTTATGAAATCTTTATTGTTCAGATTATTACATTTCTTCCTCTTTTTTCGCCCCATAGCTGCCCTCCACCCAGTTTCCACCCCACCTTCTGCCCTTTCCCCCCCCCCCCCCCCTCCTC